AAAAAAAACCTTACAATGAACTTTCCTCCGTTTTTTTCTTAGAGCAAAGAACATTTAACAAAATCTAAAGAACCTATAATTCATTATTACTGTAATTCATCACAATTTGTCACACTCACGTCTTGCTCTGGCCTGTTCCTTCATTGTGAAATACTGCAAACCTTCAGCACAAACCAGGTGACATCCAGCATTCGTTTGCACGATGTCCTCAAACGTCTGCAGAAGATCGTCAGGAGAGCTGCTCCTCTGAAGACTGACATGTCTGTTGAAGCATTTCTGAATGATTTTCTGTAGGCTGTCATTGGTTTCAGTGGGCTCTTGTGTGCTGAGCACCACGGTGTGTTGAAAACCCCGCTCAGAGAAAGAGTCCAGCACCTTTTTCACACGCTCTTCATCTTCTGTCGAACACTGATTAGGGTTAAGCACCAGAACGATCACGTGAGGTCCTGGATCAGACAGATACACACACTCTCTCGCTGTCTGTGTGAGCTGATGATCTGAGATGTTTGTCTGGAGCAGCTGAGGACTGTTGATGAGCATCACATGTCTGTCCTTCAATCTTCCTCCGACTCTCTCTACAACATCTGGAGGAGCTTCACCGTCAAACGCTGCTCGTCCTAAGATGAAGCTTCCCACGCCACTGTTTTCTGACACGCTCTTCCCCAGAAGAACAATCCTCAGATCGCTCACTGAAACACAACACATATGCGATATGCTGTGCGTTAGGATGCCAGGATATTGATCGTCATCCAACATCACATTGTTGAACAAAGTAAAAATTATTTCCACACACTCTTCACGTGCTTGTTCATCTATAGACTTACTCTCAGGAGGTTCACTTCTGCTCCATCTTCTCCTGCGAGAAAGACTGTCGGCAACAGCCCCTGTATGAAACATTTAATTTGACTCCCATCACAGTAACACAAACCAACAGAAAACAATATATCTTTAAATTATTCTGTGTGAAGTGCTAGCAAATGTCATTGCAAAATACAATCAGCTTACAAATTGCCTTAAGGAAATTAAAAGAATTTTGCGAACTTTTACTGAAAACTTGTAAACTGTTTACGGTCTCAAAAGGTCACATGTTTGGTCTTCGCTTGTTGTGTAGATTTCCACTATTTTCACATCTTCACAAATCAATTATCAATTATTTGTTCAAGTTTTTGCAGTACGCAATCTAAAGTGGAGACTATTCATCATCTGTAAATGTTTATAGACGATTACTAACCATTAGTACCTTTTTTAAGCAGTCATCTCAGTGGCGCAAAGTGTCCCAGATGACCTGAATTAACCTTATTTACACATCTTTACTAATCATTTATTAATCATCGGTTCGTGTTTTTGCAGTACCTGATCTAAAGTCGAGACTATTCATCGTCTGTAAATGTTTATACATCTTTACTAATCATTTAGTATCTTAATGGGCACTGGACTTTTAGCTAATGTAACAAGGTTTATGTAAAGGTTGGTTAGCTAAGTAACACATAACACACATTGTAATTTGGGTATAAGTGCATCAACACTTATATTAGTATACTATATCATTAAACAGAATATTCCTTGAATCATACATACATCAACAGGAGAAAACAAATCAGTTTTTTCAAGAAAATATGTCTTCAATAGTAATCAAATTGACCCATTAACCAACCCGTAAACTTACCCACACCACCAAACCTGGCCCTAACCTTACCCGTATCACACCTCAAAAGCAGCAACATTTTAATTTACATTATATAATGATCTGTTAATCTTTAGGAAATGTTAAATATGTTTATTATAGTAAACATTAACAAGCACATTATCTCACGTTTCTGGCTTATACAGGTGCATCTCAATAAATTAGAATGTCGTGGAAATGTTTTTTTTATTGGTTTTATGAAGTATTCTAATTTGTTGAGATTGGTGGGTTTTTGTTAAATGTGAGCCAAAATCATCACAATTAAAAGAACCAAAGACTTAAACTACATCAGTCTGTGTGCACTGAATTTATTTAATACACGAGTTTCACAATTTGAGTTGAATTACTGAAATAAATGAACTTTTCCACGACATTCTAATTTATTGAAATGCACCTGTATATGAATATAATAATTAATTAATGATCTGTTAAGCATTATATAATGTTTGTTAATGATGTATTAATGAAAGTTATTGTAAAGTGTTACAAAGTTTCCTCAGATGTTACATATGATGATCTAATATATACATCTCTCTCTCTCTCTCTCTTGTAGTGATAGATCAGTAATAAGTGTGATATTGTAGCAGTGATTTATGATTAAAATAAATCTGAATTCTGTAGACAGTTCAGTGCTTCTGTCACCTGTGCTGAACATGATGTTCAGTCTCTCCTCTCAGTCTTTGTCTTTAGTCTTCAGCTGATCATCTCTGACTCCTGCCGTCTGTCTGTTCATCGTCCTGTCAAAAGAGATTCAACAGTCCTGAGATTCGACTCACTTGGCACAAGAAATACGTGTTATATCATACATATATTAAATACAGTTTGCCTGTAGTTTTGTTGCTACAGAAAGATATTGTGTTAAGCTCTTGCGAGTTCGAAAATGTGTTAAACTGTGTGATATTGAACATTTATTTTTACATGCAAAACGTATGCAGGAATTCTGCATCATGTTCATGCTTCTGCATCTCTTTTTGTACATGCTTCACGTCATCAAATATTTCTGAACACAGACTTTCACAAATGGATTTGTTTCTGTGACATAAAACTGAAAGTGAAGCTCACTGCAGCTCACAAAGGTTACATTTACATTTAGCTGAAGCTTTTAAAAGCTTTTAAGCATTTCAAAGTGACTCGTTCAAAGAGGAACAAAAGCAATTAGTCAAGAAGCCAACAATATTCATAATATACAATCCAAGGTTCATTTGACAACTAAAACAGTTAATAATTAAATGCATGATTAAACTAAATTTAGTGTTGTATCTCACAAATAGATTTCATATAACAAACCTAGAGTATTAATTAATAATAATAAAAAAAAAATGTCTGATGATACCTGTACTGTATGTTGAAGTTCCATCATGTTTAGAGGTTTCTTTTCTTATTGCATATAGATGAGAGCAAGAATACACCTTTGTCTGCGGGTGGAGTCCGTCACACAGCAAAGGTCAGTAACATGCACTGTCTATCATACAGGTGAAGGTCAAAGTTCAGTCTGTGAGAATGAGATATTGTGTGAATAAATGACAAAGACAACAACAGGTGACCATCATTAAAGTCATTCAACAACCAGGATATTTACATACAATAAAACACTGATACAATACTGGTTGTGTCAAAGCAGCTTTACAGTGACAAACAGGAAAATAGTTTGTCAGTAATGCAAGAGGACAATAACAAACAGTCAATCTAGTTGATGTGGTCTCCGCTGACATTCAGGGTTGTAGAGGTCGTCAGTGTAAAATGTCTTTTAAGTTCTATTAAAGAACGCTCAGTGATCGCTATTTTGTGTCTGATCTGATCACTATTTTGTATATATATATATATATATTTGTATTTGTATTTTATTATGAGTTTTATGTGGGTCACATATAGTTTAAGAATACGTAAATAATGCAATAAAAGCCAACTTAAGTGACTATGTTTCTAAACACATTTAAGTACACTTTTTAAAACAATGACCACTATTTTGTGTCTGATCTGATCATTATTTTGTATATATATAAACTGCCATCAGCAAGCCAAAAAATGGGATTCAATCCTCTAAGCTGTTGAAAGCAGTGTTATTTTAGCATCATTGAGAAACTATAACAGCATTTTCAGTTTTCATTTTAATTTTAGTTAAAGGTTTAGTAATTTTATTGTCTGATGTTATATTTTTTTTGTATATATATATATATATATATATATATATATATATATATATTGTATTTTATTATGAGTTTCATGTGGGTCAGATATACAGTAGTTTAGGAATACGTAAATAATTAAATAAAAGTCAACTTAAGTGACTTTTATCTATAAAAATGACCTTTGTAATAATGTCAAATTAAAGGTTAGGCTTTAAATTACATTTTAAGTCATTATGTTTTAATATATCTACATATAATATCTATATCTAGCAGCATCGGTATATGTTAACATATCGCAGTTCAAACTGCAATCGCAATATATGACAAAATGATTCCAATACAAATAAACACACATATCGTGTTCACTTCCTTCGATGCTGAAAAGAAAATGAGAAAATACAGCCCTGTACTGCACAAAATACAAAAATAAGTAGTTTAATGTAAAAATGACTCAATACTCTTGAATTTAGGTTAATACAAAGACTAAAGATGCTACACAAATGCAGCCTATTTAATACAGATGCAACTCGAAAGCAACACAAGTAATATTCAGCGTTTTAAAATGAAATAAAATAAAAATAAATTAAAAATGCATTTCTGGTTCTGTGCATTGCACACACTTATCTAACATGAGAATACAGATATCTATTCACGTAGCAGCGACTCACTGTACACTGAATGTGTGTTTAACAGATTCGTCTAAGCATGACAGACAGTGTGTGTGACGTGAATATATATTACTGTATTTCAAACATTTGTGTATATGCTGTGTTCGACACATGCACTATCCACTACACAGTGACTTCCACATGATGAAACGAGACTGTAGACACTGTACTATACTACAACACTATACTAGACACTACACTACATTCTGTGTTTTACTGTCTCGACTGATGCAAGTGTTTTGGTCAGTTTGTCAAGAGAAGAGTCGATCTTCAGCGTGAGGAAGACCTCGTCGTCTCCTCTGCTGCTCCAGTCTCTGCAGGCCTTCCTCTCACCCCAGTGCATGCTGGGAACCCGCTCTGTGAACCGCCTCCGTCGCTGTGATATCAATCTGAGCGTATTTACCGGAGCTTTTACCTGCAGACAGCAAACACAAGCATCAGGGAAAGTTCATGAGAGCAAGCGTCAGTGTTGGCCAGAGAAAGTCTTGATGCTGAAAATACAGCTTTGATCACAGAAATAAATTACAGTTTAACAGATATTCACATTCAATACAGCTATTTTAAATTGTAATAATATTTCACAATTTTTACAATCTTAATATTATTTTTGATCCCTTATTATTATTATTATTATTGTGCACCTCTGACGGCGGCGCTGGACTCCTGCAGCTCCAGTTCCATGTAATGCAGCTGTTTTTTGGATGTGGGGCTGGTGGGGATATTCACGTATGTCACAGTGTCTCCTCTGAGTCTGTCTGTCAGCGCTGGACCGGTCACAGAAAACACACACACACACACACTTCAAACGGCACAGAGAAATCACAGAAACACACAGATCTGAGATCACCTTCAGTCAGATGAGGATAAATCTTCTGCGAGCCCGTCAGGAGCTGGTACCTGCCGCGCTCCTCCTGACAGAGACAGAGACAGAGACGGTTATCCATGGAAAAACACACCTTTCATTAGTCCGGTTCCCGCTTAAAAACCAACATGTCCACACCGGTTGAATGTGTAACCTGTCTGAACAGGTTCAGCACGGTTTCACTGTTAGTGCTCTGGATTATGAGACACAGACGGACGATAAATGTGTTACAAACGCAGCTTTCACACGACTGACTCTCAATAGCACACACTGTGTGTGGCCTTCAGCTGTATTTAACTACTCTATCTTTCAACCATTTTTTTATGCACGAGTTATTAAAGGAGGGCGAAAAATCTCAATGT